CCCTCCTGTACCAGGGCTGCTCCTGGGAACCGCACAGCCTCCAGGACATGCTGGGTATGACTGATGGTCCTCAAACTTTCAAGGGTCTCTGCTCCCAAATTCACACCACTTACATGAACGCCCAGAACTGTGGTGCTACTTCTGTTCACTCCTCCTGTGCCTACGAACAGCAACAGACCTCATGGTTCTGCAGAGGGGAGAAAATGCCAGCATTTCACTTCCAGGAAACAGAAGCGGCTCATGGAAACAGAAGGGTTTCTCGAAAGCTTTATTTGTGATCACATCTACAGCTGTCATCTGAGCAGACAAACGGAATTCAGTACAGGCTTCCAGCATATAGAACGTGGACACGTGAATGGACAGTGCACCTGACAGGAAGATAAACTGCACTTTAAAAGCTACTGTGAAGCATCCCACACAAAGTAAACACAAGGTAGTTCGTGAGGTCCTCACAACTGTCCATCTGCCCAGACATGAAGATGGACGGAGGGCAGGACCCATGCTGAGGAGGAATCCTGAGACGTGACAGGACCGCCCCCGCAGTGTGGCACAGACGCCTGGCTCCCGCCTCAGCTGGGGGCACTCACGGCTCTACCTACCGGTGGCAGAGGTGGCTCCGGGCACGTCCCCACAACCCTAACGAGGTTCTGCATCCTGCTGCAAGTAGGAAGCTTCCAGCTTTCCCCTGATCATCCGAAAACCAGAGTGTTTAAATGTTTGAGAGGAGAAAAAGACAAATAAAACAAATGCACATTCCTCAGTCTACAGAAGATTCCCGGGGAACTGGTGACTCCTCCAAAGGTTTCAGCCCACGACTACATCCTGTCCGTGTGGGAATGAAGATGCCAATGTCTAAGAACGTCAGGTGCCCCCAAGTGAGGGGTGCTGAAGGACGGATTTGCCTGCCTGCCTCCCAGGAAACCACTCTCCCAACTACAACACTTGCGATCAGGAAGCAGCACCTGTTTTGGTAAGTAAAACGCACCGGAACACAGCCGGGCCTTTCCTAGGCCTAGGCCGCGTTTGCACGACCACAGCAGTTGAGTAGTAAAGAATGAACTGTTTGCTTTCTAAGGAATTTTTCTGACCCTGCTCCAAATGAGAGGAGAACTTGGCTCCTGAGACCCTCACTTATCAAAGATTGGGGAGTGGCTGCGGGTAGTTCTGCTCCAGGACTTCCTGGAGTGCCATCCTCGCTTTCCTGTTACCTAGCAGAGAAGGCGAGGCACCGGTGTCAGTCAGAAGTGAGAAGTGATGCCCTGGCCGGTTTGGCTCAGCGGTTAGAGCATCGGCCTGCGGTCCGGAGAGACCCGGGTTCGGTTCCCGCTAAGGGCACGTACCTCGGTTGCAGTTTGTCCCCGGCCCTGGTTGGTCGTGCGGGTGGCAGCCACTCGATGTGTCCCTTTCACATCGATGTTTCTCTCTCTCTCTCCCTTCCTCTCTCTCCTTCCCACTTTGTCTGTACAAAAAATGGAAAAATATCCTCGGGTGAGGATAAAAAAAATAAAATAAAATAAAATACAGAAGTGAGAAGTGTACAAGAGAGAACAAGCATCAAGATGTGACAACAACCCAGGGCTGTCATCCTGAACTGTCCACAGAACATCTGTGGTCGTGCAAAAGAAGACAAAAAGTTAGTAGACTGCAAGAAATATTTCTAAAAGGAATTTTTCTTAAAACAACATAAACATTTTTGGAAAGCTGCTAAGGGTGGTCTAACTTCATCAAGATCAAAGGAAGCTAATCATTTCTCTGTTCAGCGTGTTTCCAGTAGGGCGGAGTGAAGAGCAACCAGGCGTTTTGTGTACACCAGGCGAGACTACTGACCAATAGTAGAAAGAGGGTCTTCAGGATCTGATGAGGAGTCTGGGGCAGAAAGCTGAAACACGCCAATCCGGTGGTACACCACCAGGCCAACTCGCCCACCCCACCAGGGCTGTATGCGGACTGACAGTTCATGTCCTTTCTGCTCCCCCAGGGCCAGCAGCACACTGCCTCATCAGGGCACTGAGGAGCGTCCCAGAGCAGTGCACACAGCAAACCCTTAGAAAGCGGTGACAGCAACACCTCACAGACCAACGAGACAACAGCAAGAGGACAACAGTGCCACCACTTTCTAAGTGCCCACCTAAATTCCGCTCAGCCACAGGTTCTTTCATCATTATTGTTAACGAGTTACCAGAGTAACATCGATCCTAGAAACTCGTGAGAGAAAGGAACACAGAGAGCTGAGCCTGTGGCTCAAGCAGCCTGGCTTTTGCATCTGGCTCTGCTATCCGAGCTGCAGCTGGACCCACGCCGCCTTCCAGTGGAGGAGTGCTAGCAGCTTTCTAGCTGGAGTGCTCAGAGAAACTGCTGTCCTTGCTCTTCTCAAAGATGTCCTCGTCACTCCCGACAGAAGGAAACGCCGCCATCATTTCTTTGTAGCTATACTGTCTCTCGCGTGGGAACCTCAACAGATACAGAAAGACCCCCTGCCTACTCCTAGTCATTTTGGACAGTAGGTGGGGCTGTTTCTCCCACCGAGGAACTTTAAAACTAACATAAATTCCTAATATAAAGTGGGATGTGAGTTCTTTCAGTATGTTGTGTAGTTTCAGACATGGAATTTATTGTATCAGAGGACTCAGACGTGCAGGTGGGTGTCAGCCTTTTGGAGTGAGGCACTGCACCTGGAGGTCACCAGCCTGAGGCCACTGCAGCTGTTACTTGTCCCACCGCAGTGTGACCAGCTGCCTTCCTCTCCAGTGTTATCCAGCTGACTCACAGTCTTCTCTCCTCAGACACCTGCTTCTCCCCTTCCGCATCTGACAGGGCACAGACAGCCTTAGCCTGCTCCTCCCTCCCTCCCATCCTCAGGCAACAGAACAAGGCGAGGGTTACTGCGGCTCTGGGATGGCACCAGCCGCAGACAGGAAGGAAAGGCGTGGGACAGGTACCTACCCAGTCAGGGCTAGCCTGACTGAAGTGCTCGTTCCCATGTTTACCACTTCATAGCAGGACCTGAGACAACGTTTCCTTTTAGCTTGAGATTCACATGATTTTTAAGAAAGTCCCTATCAATATTCAGACAGGCAAGAATACAGATACCTGAAGACACAAAGAATATTTTTAACAACTTAACTCCTAGATATTAGAAAGTTAAACAGGAGGACGGTGCTACTTTACAAACTGGATGGGAAATGTAGGCCTTCCAAGCTGGCAGGCCTTAGCTGCTCTGTGGTTTAAGTGTATCCAGGGTTGTTGGGACGCTGAACATGCCATGTCCAGGCCACTATGTCTTGGGGTAAACCCCTCTTCTAGTGTCACTTACAGCTGTGAGAACATGTGTTTTACAGCTAAGAACTGGCAAGAGCTCCGCCAATGACATTCACAAGCTTAGCGTAATGGCCCTGGGGAGGCAGCCAGCAGAAGTACCAACTTTCTTTCCTTCAGCAAAACTGTTCTGTGCAAAAGTGGTTTCCAATCTCTACAGCTCGGTAGGAAACAGCACAGACAAAAATCCTGAGCTTTCCAGTCAGACGCTGGTGTGTGTTTCCCTGGGCACATGATCAGCTCAGGACAGTCCAAACCATGAGTTTTAAAGATCTAAACTGGATGTTCTTTTATGCTAAGCATTCTAAAGGGTTAAAGCTAAACAGTGTTTTTCTGGGTGTTGGAATTGCAGGTGGTTAGTTTTAAACTTTTTTCTATTTCCTATAATAAGCATGTACTACTTTTAACATCCAGATTTTTTTTGTACAGACCAAAAGTGATGAGGAAAGTCTAGAAAACTTTTTTAAAACTAACATAAATTCCCAATATAAAGTGGGATGTGAGTTCTTTCAGTATGTTGTGTAGTTTCAGACATGGAATTTGTTCAAGAAACAAGATTGCCCCACCCCTGGATTTCCTATTTCTGTCCTGGCATTTTTGTTTTGTTTTCTTCAGCTTACAAACTCTCAGGTTATTCAGCTACACTAAAAGGAAACGGAGGCTGTCCCAGTCAGCACCTGCCTGGAGCGGGGACGGCCCAGAGAGCTGTGCTGCTCCGTCATTACCTGCGTGGCTGCCGGCTGCAGTCCCCAGGGGCTCAGGAAGGGGTGTGGAGGCCTGGGGGTATGTGCCCCAGGGTCTCTCTAATGGAGCCCTGGCAGGAACAGTCACAGAGAATGCGCATGGTGCAGGACAGAGCTAAAAGCCATGGGCCACTGATTTCTCTGTAGTTCTGCTCAAGGCTGGGCTTACCTTGATGTAAACTCCGAATATTAAGATAGCCAATCCAGTAAGAATTCAAAACTATGGGCAACATTTGAAAACCCTCTGTGTTCTAAACTTCTCTTCAGTATTGTATTAATTGTGTTTTTTTAAAGCTACCACTTCATCTACCGACATAATGTCCTCATTAATTTCCTAAATTCCTGACTTCCAGGTAATGCATGGAAAAGTGCAATTTCTCTAGCAGGTTAAGGACACTCGCCCTGGTACAAGAGAGAAATGGCACTGACCACCGGTGACGGTCTCCTTACGGAGGCATTTTGAACAATTACAACCACTAGGTGGAGCCAAAAGTTTGAAGAAACCCACAGGGAAAGCAATTCCTGTGTTTCAGGAATTTAAAACTTCAGTAAAAATAAAAAAGTAAAAGATCAGATATCCTCATATGAGAAAATATGCAGTGTAATTAAACCTTTCCAATCAGACAAAAAATGTAGCTGTTTTTTCATGGAACTGAAGTCAAATCTAGGCAAGGTTTTTTTACCCAACAAGTACAGGGCAAGGTCCTGAATCCAACACCTTCAGCAGAAATTGATTTCAGGACAGATGCTGGAGGGTGGTCAGCATTCCAGTTAGAGGCGAGGAGGATGATCCCTTAGAGCAGTGGTTCTCAACCTTCCTAGTGCCGCGACCCTTTAGTACAGTTCCTCATGTTGTGGTGACCCCCAACCATAAAATTATTTTCGTTGCTACTTCATAACTGTAATTTCGCCACTGGAAATATGTGTTTTCTGACGGTCTTAGGCAAACCCTGTGAAAGGGTCATTCAACCCCAAAGGGGTCACGACCCATAGGTTGAGAACCGCTGCCTTACAGCTCAGTTGTCAATAAACACTTCTGCTTCAGGATGGGTTCTTCCGCCAAAGTTGGAGCAGAGCTGCAAGGAAGAAAGAATGGGTTACTTGATGAGACCATCTGAGATTAGAAACAACACACTTTTCTCCATGAGTGCCACATGGAGCACAATGAGAGTAAATTACAGACCTGACTATGTTGTAATACTTAATTTAGCAATAAGGTATTCCACAGAAGGGAACTTTCTAGATAACTGATGCATACTTCATCTTGAAATGAAATATAAAGATATAAATTTCCCCTACTTCCTTGAATAAAATACATCAAACAGACACCTAGCTATTTCCTAATGAGTCGGAATTATGAATATCAAGAACAGTACTGTGCTGAGCATAACAGCAACCTACTTAGGAAAGACCAAGTGGGCTGCTCTGTGCTTCTTTCCACAGTCTCAGGTGGCTAAGTTCCTAAACCAGCTAGTATGTTTTGTTAGAGCTATGTGAAAAATAAAACTGTATGGCCCTGGCTCCGGCAGGGTGGCTCAATTGGTTGGAGTGTCGTCCTGTGCACCAAAAGGGTTGCGGGTTCAATTCCTGATCAGAGTACATACTTAGGTTGTGGGTTCCTCTCTGGTCAGGAGGCAACCAATTGATGTTTCTCTCTTTTTCTCCCTCTCTCTAAAATAATATGTATACACACACACACACACACACACACACACACACTCAGGCGAGGATTAAAAAAACAAGGTATATGGCCCTGGCCAGGCGGTTCAATTGGTTGGAGCATTGTCCCATACACCAAAAGGTTGTGGGTTCAATTCCTAGTCAGGGCACATACCTAGGTTGAAGATTCAATCCCTAGTCAGGGGAGATACCTAGGTTGCAGGTTCAATCCTCAGTCAGGGTGCTTATGAGATAACCAATTGATGTCTCTCTTTCACATCAATGTTTCTCTCTCTCTCTCTAAAAATCAATAAAAACATATCCTCAGATGAGGATTTTTTTAAAAATTAAATAAATAAATAGAATATCTGGGCTTTGCATGAAGACCCAAGAGTCTGTGCTATAAGTGAAGAGCATGAATTTAGATGCAAAATGTAACATCTATTTTGGTTTCAAAAACACTTAATATCCAAACATATAGTACAAATGATATCACACAGTTGACCCTTGAACAACGCAGGGGTCAGGGGTGCCAACCCCCCCAGAGTTGAAAATCTGCATATAATTTGACTCCTCTAAAACTTAATTACAGCCCCTTGATATCCACTGGGGATTGGTTCCAGGACCCCCGTAAATACCAAAATCTAAGGACACTCAATATTAGGATTGGCAAGAAAATATATTGTATTTCTATACAATGCTATAGAACAATGCATACAGTTAGAACTGTGCATCTGTGGATTATCAAATGCGGATGAAGAACAGTTTTTCATCTGAGGTTCGCAGAATCTGCAGATGCGAAACTCGGGGACATGGCAGGCAGACTGTATATTTATTTTTGAAAATCCTCATATAAGTACACCGGTACAGTTCAAACCATGTTATTCAAGGGTCAGTTGTAGTTTAAAATACCAAAAGTACTAACGAGACTTATCAAGGAAACAGCAGTCACTTATATCATCCTCTCCATTCCTACTACATAGAGACAAACACGTTCGGCTGGGGTTTTCTGGTATCTTTCCTCCACGTTCCTGTTTCTCTAGTTTTCTATGTGTAGTCCATAAAATTTGTTAAAGATGCAGATTCTTAGATACCACCCCAGATATACTGAATCAAAGAATCTAAGGGTGGGGCCCAGTAACCTGTTTTAACAAGCTCCCCAGGTAATTCTCATGCACAACCAGCAAACGTCCTAACTGTTCTGAGAGATGTGTTTCTACAATGACGTTATGTTCCTACTAGATGTTATGAAAGCTTAACATTCTTACATCCCACTCACCAGCCCCATAATCCATTCCTATCTTTTCAACAGTTTATGAAAAATTTTGACCAGGTTAGTATTCAGTGTTTATTTTAATTATGAAAATATCATCACAACTAAGTATATGTGCATTAAGTATTTCTTCTTGTACAATGTTTTCTTGGGACTGTAAACTGCCTCTTCTGTTGTGAACCACTTTTCTGGTTTTCTATACTTGTTTCTAATGACCCCTAACCTCACAGATAACCATGGATCTCCTCGGTATGTAAAACATGTCATATAATTTTTAAAAAGCTGGGTGGACCATGTGTTTTTTCTTGGCAACATCTTAGAATTCTGTACCCTCCTCTTCAAACCCACAGGATGCTTTCTAGACCCACTGGGCAGCTACCGCCTTGGAAGTTCTCTTCGCCTTCCTTCTGGGAAATCCCTGCTCCTCTCTGTCTCCTGGCTTCCACATAGGATTCTTTCTTAACCAGCTTGTTCTGATGAAACACATACTCCAGTGAATTCCTGAGGAAGACCACTGGAGAAGTATATACTTTATGGAGAAACTACACCTATTTCTTCTAATCTCACACTTCATTGATAGTTTGAATATAAAACTCTAGGTGAAAAATTACTTTCCTCCCAAATTCTGAAGGCATTGTTCCATTATCCTCTAGCTTTCAGTTAAATCTGCTGTCATTTTGATTTCCAATCCTTTGTATGTATTCTCCCCAAGCCCACCCCTAACCCCAAAGGCATATATCCTCTCTCAACTTCTGAAATTTCATGATGTTCCTTGGTGTTTATTTTCATTCTCTGTGCTGGGTACTCAGTAGGCCTGTTGAATCTAAAAACTCAACTACTTCTGTTCTAGGAAATCTCTTTGACAATTTTCTCGTTTTCATTTACTCTATTATTCTTTCTGTTTCTCCAATGACTCATATATTGGATTTCCTAGACCAATCCTCCAATTATCTTTTCTCTTCCAGTTTTTAACTTTTTTCTACTGTTTGGGAGATTTCTCTTCCACATACTTTGAATTTTATTTTTAACATGGTTAATAATTTCTAAGGATACTTTGGTTTCTATGCCTTTTCTTTTAAATGTCCTGCTATAATTGCATGGATGGAGTATCTTTTCTCTCATGATACTATCATTTTGTGGCTTTTTTTTCTCCTTGTTTCTTTTCTTCTTAAAATAATTTTTTTATTGATTTTTAGAAAGAAAGGGAGAGGGAGAGAGAGATAGAAACATTCATAAGAAAGAACATTGAATGGCCACCTCCTGCATGCCTCCTACTGGGGATTTGGCCCACAACCTGGGCATGTGCCCTGACTGGGAATCAGACCGGCAACCTCTTGGTACATGGTTGATATGGGTTGATGCTCAACCACTGAGCCACACCGGCCATGCAAAAAAAAAAAAAAAATTTTTTTTAAATAGAATACAGCAAAGGTAATAGGATGTCACTTCTGTGATTAGCTTATATAAGACTGTGACTTCCCAGCAGATACTACTGTCTTCTTGGTTTGCTAGCTTTGATGGAGCAAGCAATTATTGTGGAGAGGTCTATGTGGCAAGGACTGAGGGTAGCCTCTGGCCAATAGCCAGCTAAAAACTGAGGGCCTCAGTTTAACAGCCCTTCAGGAACTGAATTCTGCCAACGACCATGACTGGAGGCACGTCTCCAGTTGAGCCTTCAGATGAGAATCTATCCCTGGCCACCACCCTGATTGTAGCCTATGACAGAGAACTCTGACAGAAAGGACTCAAAGGAAAGAGGATTGTAAATGGGTGTTGTTTTAAGCTGCTAAATATGTGGTACTTTGTTACACAGTAACAAATAACTAATGTAAATATGTTTATGCGATTCATCTGTACTGCTGTACTGCAGTTGTAGTTCATTATTTTTCACTGTTCTAGTCTAGAATTTATCTAGTTGACTGCTAATGAACCTTTGGAAAGTTTTTAGCTTGAACTACTATGAATACATCTGCTATAAACATTCTTGTACATGTCTTTCAATGGATATATATTTGTACTTCTATTGGGTGTGTACATAAGAAGAGAACAACTGATCCACTGGGTATGTTCAGCTTCAGTAAAGACTGCCAAACCTATTTCCAACATGGTTATTCCAATTTACAGAGTTCCAGCTGTTTCCTGTCTTCACCAACACTTGGAACTATGTATCTTCTTTACACTTTAGCCATTCTGGTAGTATGCAGTATTATCACATGGTGGTTTGAATGTGTATTCCTCAATACTAGTCAAGTTGCACACTGTCTCATATGCTTATTGGCCTTCTGGATTTCCTCTTGTGAATAGTCTATTCAATTCTTTTGCCAATTTTTCTATGGAGATGTCTTTTTCTTATTGATTTATAAGAGCTCTTTAAATGCTGAATATGAGTCCTTTGTCAAAGTGGGGAGAGGGAGGGAACAAGAGAGAGGAGAGAGGAACAGAGATTCAGAAACAAAGAGGGAGGGAGTATAAATGTTCTCCCCCATTCTGTGGCTTCTCTTTTCGAGCTCTTGAAATTATATCTTTGAATGAACAAAATTTCTTTTTATCCTCACCCGAGGAAATTTTTTTTTCCATTTTTTGTTCAGATAGAGTGGGAGGGAAAGAGAGAGGGAGAAACATCAATGTGAAAGGGACACATCGAGTGGTTGCCACCCACACAACCCAACCAGGGCCGGGGACAAACCGCAACCGAGGTACGTGCCTTTAGTGGGAACCAAACCCGGGTCCCTCTGGAACACAGGCCGACGCTCCAACCACTGAGCAGAACTGGCCAGGGCTCTTTTTTTAAATATGTTTTTTATTTATGTATTTATTTATTTATTATTTTTTTTAGAGAGACAGGAAGGGAGAAAGAGATAGAAACATCAATGTGAGAAAGAAACATTAATTGGGTGCCTCCTGCACGCCCTCTACTGGGAATTGAGCCCGCAACCTTGGCATGAGCCCTGATAGGGAATTGAACCACTAAGCCACACTGATTAGGCAATGAACAGAATTTCTTGATATAATCCAAATTACAATTTTTTCCCTGTATGATTAAAGCTTTTTGTGACCTGTTTAAAAAATCCTTGCCCCTTTTCAAAGCCACAACAATGTTCATTTATATTTTCTTCTAAAAGCTTTATTATTTGACATTTCATA